GTATCTTTACTTCTATAATATACCTAACAGTAGTATCTTTACTTCTATAATAATACCTAACAGTAGTATCTTTACTTCTATAATAATACCTAACAGTAGTATCTTTACTTCTATAATAATACCTAACAGTAGTATCTTTACTTCTATAATAATACCTAACAGTAGTATCTTTACTTCTATAATAATACCTAACAGTAGTATCTTTACTTCTATAATAACATCTAGCAGTAGTATCTTTACTTCTATAATAATACCTAACAGTAGTATCTTTACTTCTATAATAATACCTAACAGTAGTATCTTTACTTCTATAATAATACCTAACAGTAGTATCTTTACTTCTATAATAACATCTAGCAGTAGTATCTTTACTTCTATAATAATACCTAACAGTAGTATCTTTACTTCTATAATAATACCTAACAGTAATATCTTTACTTCTATAATAATACCTAACAGTAGTATCTTTACTTCTATAATAATACCTAACAGTAGTATCTTTACTTCTATAATAATACCTAACAGTAGTATCTTTACTTCTATAATAATACCTAACAGTAGTATCTTTACTTCTATAATAACATCTAGCAGTAGTATCTTTACTTCTATAATAATACCTAACAGTAGTATCTTTACTTCTATAATAATACCTAACAGTAGTATCTTTACTTCTATAATAATACCTAACAGTAGTATCTTTACTTCTATAATAAAACCTAACAGTAGTATCTTTACTTCTATAATAATACCTAACAGTAGTATCTTTACTTTCTATAATAATACCTAACAGTAGTATCTTTACTTCTTTAATTAATACCTTACAGTAGTATCTTTACTTCTATAATAATACCTAACAGTAGTATCTTTACTTCTATAATAATACCTAACAGTAGTATCTTTACTTCTTTAATAATACCTAACAGTAGTATCTTTACTTCTATAATAATACCTAACAGTAGTATCTTTACTTCTATAATAATACCTAACAGTAGTATCTTTACTTCTATAATAATACCTAACAGTAGTATCTTTACTTCTATAATAATACCTAACAGTAGTATCTTTACTTCTATAATAATACCTAACAGTAGTATCTTCTATAATAATACCTAACAGTAGTATCTTCTATAATAATACCTAACAGTAGTATCTTCTATAATAATACCTAACAGTAGTATCTTTACTTCTATAATAATACCTAACAGTAGTATCTTTACTTCTATAATAACATCTAACAGTAGTATCTTTACTTCTATAATAATACCTAACAGTAGTATCTTCTATAATAATACCTAACAGTAGTATCTTCTATAATAATACCTAACAGTAGTATCTTCTATAATAATACCTAACAGTAGTATCTTTACTTCTATAATAATACCTAACAGTAGTATCTTTACTTCTATAATAACATCTAGCAGTAGTATCTTTACTTCTATAATAATACCTAACAGTAGTATCTTTACTTCTATAATAATACCTAACAGTAGTATCTTTACTTCTATAATAATACCTAACGGTAGTATCTTTACTTCTATAATAATACCTAACAGTAGTATCTTTACTTCTATAATAATACCTAACAGTAGTATCTTTACTTCTATAATAATACCTAACAGTAGTATCTTTACTTCTATAATAATACCTAACAGTAGTATCTTTACTTCTATAATAATACCTAACAGTAGTATCTTTACTTCTATAATAACATCTAGCAGTAGTATCTTTACTTCTATAATAATACCTAACAGTAGTATCTTTACTTCTATAATAATACCTAACAGTAGTATCTTTACTTCTATAATAATACCTAACAGTAGTATCTTTACTTCTATAATAATACCTAACAGTAGTATCTTTACTTCTATAATAATACCTAACAGTAGTATCTTCTATAATAATACCTAACAGTAGTATCTTTACTTCTATAATAATACCTAACAGTAGTATCTTTACTTCTTTAATAATACCTAACAGTAGTATCTTTACTTCTATAATAATACCTAACAGTAGTATCTTTACTTCTATAATAATACCTAACAGTAGTATCTTTACTTCTATAATAATACCTAACAGTAGTATCTTTACTTCTATAATAATACCTAACAGTAGTATCTTTACTTCTATAATAATACCTAACAGTAGTATCTTTACTTCTATAATAATACCTAACAGTAGTATCTTTACTTCTATAATAATACCTAACAGTAGTATCTTTACTTCTATAATAATACCTAACAGTAGTATCTTTACTTCTATAATAATACCTAACAGTAGTATCTTTACTTCTATAATAATACCTAACAGTAGTATCTTTACTTCTATAATAATACCTAACAGTAGTATCTTTACTTCTATAATAATACCTAACAGTAGTATCTTTACTTCTATAATAATACCTAACAGTAGTATCTTCTATAATAATACCTAACGGTAGTATCTTTACTTCTATAATAATACCTAACAGTAGTATCTTTACTTCTTTAATAATACCTAACAGTAGTATCTTTACTTCTATAATAATACCTAACAGTAGTATCTTTACTTCTATTATACCTAACAGTAGTATCTTTACTTCTATAATAATACCTAACAGTAGTATCTTTACTTCTATAATAATACCTAACAGTAGTATCTTTACTTCTATAATAACATCTAGCAGTAGTATCTTTACTTCTATAATAACATCTAGCAGTAGTATCTTTACTTCTATAATAATACCTAACAGTAGTATCTTTACTTCTATAATAATACCTAACAGTAGTATCTTTACTTCTATAATAATACCTAACAGTAGTATCTTTACTTCTATAATAATACCTAACAGTAGTATCTTTACTTCTATAATAATACCTAACAGTAGTATCTTTACTTCTATAATAATACCTAACAGTAGTATCTTTACTTCTATAATAACATCTAGCAGTAGTATCTTTACTTCTATAATAATACCTAACAGTAGTATCTTTACTTCTATAATAATACCTAACAGTAGTATCTTTACTTCTTTAATAATACCTAACAGTAGTATCTTTACTTCTATAATAATTCCTAACAGTAGTATCTTTACTTCTTTAATAATACCTAACAGTAGTATCTTTACTTCTATAATAACATCTAGCAGTAGTATCTTTACTTCTATAATAACATCTAGCAGTAGTATCTTTACTTCTATAATACCATCTAGCAGTAGTATCTTTACTTCTATAATAACATCTAGCAGTAGTATCTTTACTTCTATAATAATACCTAACAGTAGTATCTTTACTTCTTGATGTGTTTCTGCAGTGTCTGTCTTTTGTGAGGGTGAAGAGGTTTGAGTCGACTTCATTTAAGGCTTCTTTTTAGGGTCAATACACTCAAAATTACATTTTCTTTTTCTCTCCTCATATTTGGACACTTTCTTGGCAAATTTTAATGTTTGAAATGTTATCTGTCACATTTAATTTAATTTTACAAGCATAAATATGATAAAGGGGTCAGTCACAATATTGTGGCTACAATTCACAAATACCGACGTTTCGATCTTTTCGACTTGATAATAGTTCAGGACGGATCGAAATGTCGTGGGTTATTTGTGAATTATGATATCTGCTCTAACTTATTTTCTTATTCTCTTCTTATTTCTTTTTCAAATTCTCTCTCTTATACTTCATTTACGTTTCATTGTTTTTATCTGGCTGTCCTGAATCTCTCATTTTTGGTTCTAAACCCCCTTCCAGTTTTGTCTTTCCATCACCTTCTACTAAACTATTATTTCTATTGGCTTGTTTTTTTCTGTTTTGGAGTGTATTGTTTAATACCATTCTCACATAATTTTCAGAACTGTTCTTCTGTATTACATCTGAAATCCTTTTCATGAACTCTGATTGACCTTTATGTTCTTTTTCAATGTATGTTCTCTCATGTTCTCCAAATCTGTAACAATGCATAAATGCATAATTAATACAAATAAAAATGTAAACTATTTCCTGGCTGTAGAAAATACTGCGATGTTACAAATTAACCGACTAAAACAAAGCAACAGCTGTTGTATTACTTAGTGAAGATAAAGTTAAAAATCTTGAAGGTTCAGTCTTTCATACTTGATGTTGTTCAGTCACTCACCTCTAGAATCATTTACGTTTCAAAATACTTTATGAATAAACAATTTTATCCAGTGGTGATAGACGCGTGTGTATTTCTGATATAAGGTTAATTTTTCTAAGGCTTTGCAGTTCATTGTTCTCTCAACCGCATCCCTATCTTCTTCAGTTTACCACTTATCTCTTTTTATTCCTGCCAAGAATAAATACACGAGCGTTTTCTTTAGGACTCGCAAAGAGAGACAAATATTTATAAAATACAAAAAATGTGTGGTTTTGGAGGGATAATGGCTGCCAGGTAGAAAAACAAATGAGATCACTTCCTCTCTGCTGTTGTATGTTGCGTCCCTGGACACCTAGGAATTTTTTTTTCTTTATGCCGATGTTACTAATGCGCGAACTTACTCCTTAATGTTTCTGGTCACATGACTGAGGCCTTACCGCTCCTCTCACTTAATAAAAAATTATCACGTATGTGGTATGTGATGATTTAGGTTAAACTAGGTCACAATATAATATATAATTCGTCACTGAGACAAGAACCACTCGTACAACTGGCTGGAATGCCTACAACTTCTTCTCTTTCTGTCTATCCACATTTTTTCTTACCTTTGTTCCTATCCACAACCTTTACCTTTCTGTTCCTGATTATCCATCTTTCTTACCTTTCTTTTTCTGTCTATCCACAACCTTTCTTACCCTTTTCTTCCTGTTTATCCACAGCCTTTCTCACCTCTCCCTTCCTGTCTACCCCTTTCTTATTATTATTTTTTATTCATAACTATAACTATCATTATTCCTAGAGTATTAATAACAAGTGTTATATCCGTATGAGTCATACCGTCCATCGTATTTAAAACTGTAAATACTGAGGTTAGGTAACCGACGGACTAACTATGAGTATATTGTTTTCAGGTGGTGATGACAGCACTGGTGTGTGCTTCACTCGCTGAGTCTAGTTCCCATGGAAGAGGCAGTCAGGGAAGCAGCCATGGTGCAAGTATCAGAGACGCAAACTATGGTGGTGGAGGCCATGGTGGCAGCTCTGGTATAGTTCATGCCCAGCTTGTTGGCAGGCATAGCAGCACAACTGGTGGCAGCGCTGGGGGCACCTATAAAAGTGAACATCAAGGCCCAAACATTATACGTTTCCAGCTTGTTGGCAGACATACCAGCACTACTGGTGGTAATGTTGAAAGTGGTGGCAGTTACAAAAGTGCACCAAAGATTCCTACCATCATCCGTGCCCAACTTGTTGGCAGACATACCAGCACAACTGGTGGCAGTATTGGCAGCGTTGGTAGAAGGTATAATAAAATTAAACCAAAAGGAGGAAGCATAATACCTTTCCAGCTTGTTGGTAAACACACCAGCAGTAGTGACATAAGGTATTAACAGCAGTAACGGACCACACAGCAGTAGCTGTTGTACTCTTCAATAGAGACCGAGACCGTGCCCTGACACGACTTTTGCCTATATCCATCTTTTTTCTCGTTAGCGACTTGACAGCGGTCCAAGAATGACCGAAACATCGTCCCGATTTCCTTTCTGATTTGTAGGGTGGTTGTGGAATGACGAATTCCAACAGGAACTTGTAGAGAGCATTTCAGTCTCCCGTAATTTCTTGTCTTGAGTGGAGCTGACTTCTCAAACCTTGCCATCGTAAACTCTTCGTTGAGAATGTTTCTCTCCTGCACAATACATAGCTTACGGGATGTTAATAATCTTGCTAATACCAAAACATATATCTAGAAAAAATAAAAGAGTTTATATGTATTAGTGTATTATTTAATGCCATATGACCAGAAACCGTTATTAAATATAAATTCGTTGACGTTCATTTAATCAATACTTGTTTAAAAATAAGATAGTGTCCATCAAACCATTATAATCTTATATATATATATATATATATATATATATATATATATATATATATATATATATATATATATATATATATATATAGATAGATAGATAGATAGTTGTGTTGAGTTACAACTCCTGGACCTCTTGTGAATCCTTAAGGATATCATTACAATGTTTCATAATGTTGAATTTCAGCTCCTCTGCTTTTGGAAGGTGTTGATGTTAAGCTCTTAAAGTTCTTGGGGATGTTGAGGTATAGCTCCTAGGTCTCTTCACAATTTTGCGGTGCAGATATCTTTTGTGTACATAGAAATACTATATATATATACATTATATATATATATATATATATATTATATATATATATATATATATATATATATATATATATATATATATATATATATATATATGTATATATATATATATATATATATATATATATATATATATATATATATATATATATATATATATATATATATATATATATATAAGGAGAAGAGCTTTCGTCGCAGCATTATCCAAGAGGTACACCGTCTCCGATAACCTCGGTCCTCTGTACTTTTACGTACACAAAAGATATCTGCACCGCAAAATTGTGAAGAGACCTAGAAGCTATACCTCAACATCCCCAAGAACTTTAAGAGCTTAACATCAACACCTTCCAAAAGCAGAGGAGCTGAAATTCAACATTATCAAACACTGTAATGATATCCTTAAAGATTCACAAGAGGTCCAAGAGTTGTAACTCAACACTCTAAAAATATCTAGAAGCTTAAACAAAATCCAATCAGGAATGCTTGAAAAAATTGAGACCAAATAGACAAAGCATTGTAAAGATTCCTGAAAGAGTACCTAAGAGGCTCAAGAGCTGTAATTCAATACTATAAAGGGCCCAGAAGTTAGAGTGCAACCCTGTCAATCATGCCTAATATCTGATATTAACTGGAAGAAGCATTGTGACAGTATTCTCGAGAGTTTAAAAGCAGCTTAGGGGATGTAACTCAATACTCTAAGTAGGTCCAAGAGCTGAAACTCAACCCAGTGTTAACAATTTAAAGCCGATCAAAAGAAGCATTAACAGGTTGTCTCATGCAAATCAATAATCCCTCTTTTTAATGAACATAATTAGACAACCGATACTTACAGCAGAAGAGGGTAATCGGAACCTTCCAATCAGTAACAAAAGTTTGAAGTCGATTGATCAAGTTATCGCACAGAAACTCTGAAGGATTTTTTTTAAACAATTACTAAAGGGATCGTCTTTCAGGGGATACATAAACACATTTTTAGTGTATTCACGTACACATATTTTATCAAACTTGTGTTGCATAATAAGTTAAAATTTTGACAACGAACCTTCAGTCAGTCAGCGACTGAGGCTAAAATATAAACTACTCATTTTACTTATTAATAAGACTAGTAGTATTTAACACCAAGTAATAGGAGGTAATAATATGGTACATGTAAGTGGTAAAAGTATATAAAAGTATGTAACCGTAACATGGTGTATACATGCGACGACAAAATTACTTTGCAGTAAAAGATAATGAAGAACCCAAATCTAGTAAAGCATATCTTGTATATATGTTCTCCAAATAGAAATTAAATTAACGCAAGATTAAGGAAGAAGCTGTGAAGAATGATCGTGTACCGTCCACTAACACTGGTCAAGGTGAGGGTCGCCAACACCGGCTTGTCCTCACTCACCATCGTGTTTTGTGTGAATTTGATTACCAGTTGCAGCTGATGATAAAGTTGTAAAGAAAGGTTAGCGCTTGGATGAGCAGAGAGAAACAGAAAAAAACAAGATGAGAGTTGCAAGATTTCTGGCACACGAGCCTTGATGAGTTTCTGCCTTGGTGGCGACAAGGTCAACGCTGGATCATTACAGGTAACGGCACTGGGGTACCTGGGCACGAGGAAGAACTTGGCTTGTGTTTTTTTTTTTTTTGCACAAGGAAGGTTGCCGGTGCATCCCGAGTTGTGATTGGACAACAACAATAGGGTTAGTCAGGTAAGAGAATTTTCAACCTTCGCAGATACACGATTCTTTCCTGCTCCTAGAGTCATCGCAAAGTTGTGTTGGTATTAAGGTAGTTGGCAACCAAGTGATGAACAGGGACGAATGCCTGAATATAAATACCTGGGAAGGAAGGTGAGTGCCAGTCCAGGTTGATCACTGCTGCTGCTGGTGTAGGGGCAAACAGGCTGAGCTCAAGCAAGCATGAGGGTCCTTACAACACTCGTGAGTATTGCACAACTTTACTGCAGAACACTCCTTTGTTTTTGCCTATCATACAAAGCCCAACACACACACACATATATAGGCCCATATTGGAGTATGCACACCAGTACGGAACCCACACCTGATCAAGTACGTCAAGAAATTATAGAAAGTGCAAAAGTTTGCAACAAGATTAGTCCCGGAGCTGAGGGATATGTCTTGCGAGAAGAGGTTAAGGGAAGTCAACCTGATGACACTGGAGGACAGGAGGGAAAGGAGGAAAACACGATAACAACGTATAAAATACTGAGAGGAACTGACAAGGAGGACGGACCACAATGTTTCAGAGATGGGGCACATTAAGAACATAAGATCATAAGAAAGAAGGCCTACTGGCCCATGCGGGGCAAGTCCATGTGAACCCCTGGTTTAGACCAACAAGGGAACACAAATGGAAGTTGAAAACTCAGATGAGATATGGGATTAGTGAAGTTGTGGAGGTAGGACTCATACATAGCTTTAAGAAGAGGTACAATAAACCTCTTGGAGCAGGGAGTACCACCTAGCGAAGAGGCGGGGCCAGGAGCTGTGACTCGACCCCTGTAACCACACATAGGTGAGTATTAACACTCAAATATATATATATATATATATATATATATATATATATATATATATATATATATATATATATATATATATATATAATATATATATATATGTCGTGCCGAATATGTAAAACTGGTCAATTAGCAAGAACTCATTTAAAATTAAGTCCTTTCTAAAATTTTCTCTTATACGTTTAAAGATATATTTTTTTTCATTATTGTTAATGTAAAATTTTTTAATTTTGCACCAAAAGAATCTTAGAAAACTTACCTAACCTTATTATAACAAGCGCAATTTATTTTAGCCTAACCCAACAAAATATATGTTAGATTTGTTTACAATAATTTAATACTAAACAAACACAGTGAAATATATTTTTTTTTAGCTAGGTTCAGAATGATTTTGGCGAAATTATTGCATACACAAATTTTCACTTGTCCTATATGGCAAGATGAACGTTGCTATTTAAGCCAAGATCGCAAGTTCTGCCTATTCGGCACGACATATATATATATATATATATAATATATATATATATATATATATATATATATATATATATATATATATATATATATACCGAACGTAATGAAGACGCATCATTCCGTAATGCAGTGATCGATTAGTCCAGGAAAATACGGAAGAACTTCGTACCTCAAATGCGACAGGTATTGTAATAGTTTGAATAGCGCAGAGTAGCTCCTGAATAACACATAAAAAAAATCACAGAATTGCAAATACGGGAAAGCAACCCGGCCAACAGAAACTGAAATGGTCGAAAAGCTGCATTATGTGATAAGCTAAATTTCAGTATTTTATATTCCATGCCAAATAATGTGTAAATTTGAGCTTATTTTGGCACGGGTAATTATTATTATTATAATGAAAAAGAAGCGCTATGCCACAAGGGCTATACAGCTGGCACAGGTCATGCTTGCGTGGTTTGTGCTACATTAAATTTATCAAATCATGTTATGGAGGATATACAAAGTTAATACTTTTTTTTTTTTAGTTTGCTGGTCTCTATGGCATAAGTTCACTATGAAAATAAATGCAGTGGCTTAAGTTTTGTCAGAAAACAGTACAAGTGTTTCTCGACGTGGGTCTTAGTCATATGATGACCCGCAGCTACAGCTTTTGGCCATCTAGCCGAGGCCTTCTGCTGGCTTACCCCCCCCTCCCCTACCCTTTTAAAAATTAAGGTTATAATTATAATCGCCAATAATGACATAAAAAATGCAACGCTTGAGTAAAACAAAGAGTAATAAATTTTACTGCTGTGGAGAAATTATCTCCAACGGGAGGGAGCGGGGGAGAGGGGATGGGTCATGACCCTTATCTCTTTACCACAGGGTTTGACACTACTCAGTACGAAATCTTTCAAGGAAAAAGAGCTAGGTTCTCTACAAAATTAATCACCTGAAGCAGTGAAACATATCTTCAGTCACTCATTATCATCCGAGTCTTCAGTATCCAGTTTATTTCCACGCTCATCTTCGTAACAATGAGCACAATCCGTCGTACTCAGTGAATCAGTGTTTTTCGGAGTTCCAGCGCATGCTGAGGCATGACGTTGTACATGCTGAGGCATGATGTTTTACATGCTGAGGAATGACGTAGTACAGCTACAACCAGTCACAACAGGGATGGAGGAGGACCGAGGTTCATCACACACCTCTGGGTAGTCATTTTCTTTCAGTAGTCATCCCCAGTCACCTATACTCAGGGATTCTGCTTCTAACTTCCACTCTTGAATTTAGTATTCATACAACGCTTGGTACTTTGTTACAGGTACAGTAGGGAGCAGGAACTCTGCGGCAGCAACATATTCAGCAGCAGCACACAAACCATCACACAGTTGAAGACTCAGATGAATCAAAGGGATGTTAGGAAGTATTTCTTCAGTCATAAAGTAGTCAGGCCGTGGAATAGCCTAGAAAGTGACGTAGTGGAGGCGGGAACCATACATAGTTTTAAGGCGAGGTATGATAGAGCTCATGGGGCAGGGAGAGAGAGGACCTAGTAGCAATCAGCGAAGAGGCGGGGCCAGGAGCTGTGAATCGACCCCTGCAACCACAAATAGGTGAGTACAAATAGGTGAGTACAGCATCGCCTCTTCCACGGCCAAGGCAATAAATGAGGGTTTTTGGCCTAGTGAAAGAACTGCTCTGCTAAGATGGAAAACTTGCTGGCCTGAATCAACTTGAGGCAAGCTTTAAGCATTTCTATGCCATGTTTAGCAGTGTACTCTCACGTATGGTGAAATACATGAGTGGGTGTGGGTGGGAGTGAGTTGGACCTGACTAGCTTGTGCTGCTGGATCTGGTGCCGTGCTCCTTCCTTAATTGGAGGTGACCAAACTGGGTGGGTCATTGGGCTAATCCGGGGGGGGGGGGACATGGACCTGCTCCGCATGGGTCAGTAGGCCTGTTGCAGTGTTCCTTCTTTCTTATGTTCTTACCATTACTTTGCAGATATCACTGCCAAACATACTAATGCTGTAAATATCGAATACTTATCTATTTATTCTTGATCGTTCAATATCACTACGACTGAAGAGTGAATTTCCCGGGTTTACAGTGGTACATGTAGATGAATGGTTCAGAGAACCGACATGTTGATATATTAGACACATGTGCAACTCTTGGGTATCTTTATTGAGGAAACGTTTCGCCACACAGTGGCTTCATCAGTCCATACATAGGAGAAACTTGAAGAACAGGAGGAGAATGAGGTAATCAGTCCCTCAACCTTGAGTCGATGTGTTCAGTCCATCAATCTTGAGTAGAATACAGCATATGAGCGGAGAAGCAGCTTATAAACCGTATGGCAGGAGAGGTGCAGCAGTCATAGGTGGTGTCACATTTGTTCAATGTGGAAGTAGGTCGTGCCCAAGAATTAGGCAAGCGAAGAATTCCTAAGTATTAAGATCCCAAGAAGCTGCAGTGTCTGACAGGTGTGTAGATGAATGGCTCAGAGAACCGACATGTTGATAAATTAGACACATTACTGATTACCTCATTCTCCTCCTGTTCTTCAAGTTTCTCCTATGTATGGACTGATGAAGCCACTGTGTGGCGAAACGTTTCCTCAATAAAGATACCCAAGAGTTGCACATGTGTCTAATTTATCAACAGTGGTACATAAGGAGAGAAGCCATGTCGTGTCACTGGTATGTAAATTCATGATTAATAAGAAAAACAACTGCGGATTTTCCCACTGGTTCTGAAGATGGTTCAGTGAAGATTTACTTAGTTCTAGAGCAACCTGGCCTTGCATTTCCAGAGACGATAACTATGAAATACTACTTTATTTAAACAAATAGGTTTCATTAGATGATTTACATATTAGTAAACTCGCCTCTTTAATATTATTGTTTCAGATATTAATGTGATAAATGTATTTAGTTATGTACGTAAGTGTGGTACAAAAAATAGTCCATACAAACGTATTGATCATTACAGGTGGTGACGCTGGGATTGGTGTGTGTTTCGCTGGCTGATCTTCTTCCCCATGGAGGTGGCAGCTACGGCGGAGGTAGAGGTAGAGCCTATGGTGGAGGCCATGGTGGTGGAGCTAGCATAGTTGCTGCCCAGCTTGTTGGCCGACACTCTACCACAACTGGTGGTGGTGGTGGATATGGGGGCGGCATCAGAGGTGGACGTCAAGGGCCTAGTATAGTTGCTGCTCAGCTTGTTGGCAAACACACTACCACAACTGGTGGTGGTGGTTATACTGGCGGCATTGGGGGCGGCATCAGAGGTGGACGTCAAGGGCCTAGTATAGTTGCTGCCCAGCTTGTTGGCAAACACACTACCACAACTGGTGGTGGTGGTTATACTGGCGGCATTGGGGGCGGCATCAGAGGTGGACGTCAAGGGCCTAGTATAGTTGCTGCCCAGCTTGTTGGCAAACACACTACCACAACTGGTGGTGGTGGTTATACTGGCGGCATTGGGGGCGGCATCAGAGGTGGACGTCAAGGGCCTAGTATAGTTGCTGCTCAGCTTGTTGGCAAACACACTACCACAACTGGTGGTGGTGGTTATACTGGCGGCATTGGGGGCGGCATCAGAGGTGGACGTCAAGGGCCTAGTATAGTTGCTGCTCAGCTTGTTGGCAAACACACTACCACAACTGGTGGTGGTGGTTATACTGGCGGCATTGGGGGCGGCATCAGAGGTGGACGTCAAGGACCTAGTATAGTTGCTGCCCAGCTTGTTGGCAGACACACCAGTTCAGGTGGTGGTGGATACGGGGGCAGCATCGGTGGTGGCAGCATCGGTGGTGGCATCATCGGTGGTGGCAGCATCGGTGGTGGCAGCATCGGTGGTACCAGTTATGGTGTGAGTGGCGGCAGTGGTTGCTGTGGTGGCAGTAGAGGATGGTAAACATCAGAAAACATTCATGAGCTATGGTTTTTCAGCAATACTAGATCGTTGTTACAGTAATCTCGGGTTGTGAACTACTGAAAGCACTGGCAGCATACTGCTGCTCTTGTGAACTTGGTATATACAATGATTTACCTGAATATTGTTATTCGAGATTGTATTTTAGCTAAAAGTTATCATGAGCTCTGTAAATATACTCTGATGGTGCCAGTTACACCAAAGGGGTCAATAAACCAATAATAAACCAATATTGTAACAGTGATGCGTTTTTTAATCAAATTTTCCTATATTACTGAAACAATGGTAAAATATTGAACTGATAAAGAAAATTCTATATGGAAGTACGAAAAAGAAGTCTCATTAGTGGTACGAGTAAGTGGAACGCTTTTTCAGTTCCAGAAGACAACCAAAAACAAAGATATTTTTTAAAATGGCTTCACCCACTAAAGACTTGCAGCCACACATCCGCAAACACTTGCAGGAGCTAGAGCTCCCTCCCAAAGATAGCTCACAAAAAAATAGCTAAGATAACCCCATCGTTAATAAAAAGATTGTTGCATCTATTCTCCAGTATGTTTGCCTTAAAAGGCCATCACTTCTCACTCAGCCGTAAGCATTCCTCAACCCAAGGACTATTTTTTTTTCTTTAGCATGCCTCACCTCTAGTGATGCATCGGATATCCGCATCCGTGGAACATCAGCACAATTTCTTACATCTGCATCCGCATCTGCGTCTGCATTATACTGTAAACAGATATCCGCATATGCATCCGAATCCGCGGAACATTCGTACAATTTCTTACATCCGCACAATTCCTTACATCTGAATCCGCAAAATAAGTAAGACATCCTCATACACATCCACATCCACGGATATCTAAATTTTTACATCCGATACATCTCTAGTAGGTTCCATATTTTTAGTTTAACATGAATTAATATTTACTCGAGCGACAAGTGGTTATAATAAACCCTTAGTGTGCTATCTTTTTCTCTATCCACAAGGGTTCAGCATCAACTGCTCTACCCAAGCTTCATTTTTACTCCATTTAAAAAACGGTGTCCCTTCACGATAAAAAAAAAGGTTAATATTCGACTGTTATATAAAAAATTTTGAAATTTTTATAGTTTATCATATTAAAAATTGGTATTTCTTTATATTTACAAGTTGTAAATTGATTTGTTATAGAATGAAAGGGGGTAAAGCAGCTGGAACTGACGGGATCATGACAGAAATGTTAAAGGAAGTGAGGATATAGTGTTGGAGTGGTTGCTATTTTTGTTTAATAAATGTACGAAAGAGGGAAAAGTACCTAGGAATTGGCAGAAAGCGTGCATAGTTCCTTTATATAAAAGGAAGGGGTACAAAAGAGATTCTGTTGTTAGGTAAGACACATATGCAACAGTTAGGTATCTTTATTTCGAAACGTTTCGAAATAAAGATACCTAACTGTTGCATATGTGTCTTACCTAACAACCTGTCGGTATTTTATACCATTTTAATGTTCAATCTGTCAGACACTGCAATACAAGGGTATCTTGGTACAGACCTGCAATCAACTTCGACAACCTCCACTAGTGAGAACGGCGGCTGGATTTGAGAGGGACCTGACCTCCCAACATCTGAGTTCTTACCTCTTCTAGTGACCTACGTCTCACCTCTTGGCGCTATATAAGGCTCCATCCTGTCACTTCATCTCCATATTCTTTCATACTATGGAACAATGCTCTTCTCCAGACTGAGGGACTGACCACCTCAAAACTTTAAGGGTGATAGACTGATTACATCGTCTTCAAGTATCTTCTGCTTCTATCAACTTTTCTGTACTCGACTGAAGAAGCCTACTGTGTAGGCGAAACGTTTCGAAATAAAGATACCTAACTGTTGCATATGTGTCTTACCTAACAACCTGTCGATATTTTATACCATTTTAATGTTCAAAAGAGATTCTAAAAATTATAGGGGAATAAATTTGCTGAGTATACCAGGTAAGTTGTACGGTAGGGTTATTATTGAAAGAGGTAATACAGAGAGTAGGTTTGCAGATGAGCAAGAAGGCTTTAGTGTGCGTAGGGGATGTGTAGATCAAGTGTTTACATTGAAACATATGTGAACAGTATTTAGATAAAGGTAGGGAAGTTTTCATTGCATTTATGGATTTTAGAAAAGACATATGATAGAGTGGATAAGGGAGCAATGTGGCAGATGTTGCACGTGTATGGATAAGGTAGTAAGCTACTAAATGCTGTGAAGAGTTTTTATGAGGATAGTGAGGCTCAGGTTAGGGTGTGTAGGAGAGAGGGAGACTACTTCCCGGTAACAGTTGGTCTTAGACAGGGATGTGTAATGTCACCATGGTTGTTTAAGATATTTACAGATGTGATTGTAAAAGAAGTAAATGCTAGGGTGTTGCGGAGAGGGGTGGGATTAAATTATGGGGAATCAAATACAAAATGGGAGTATGCACAGTTTTTGCTGATGATACTGTGCTTTTGGGAGATTCTAAAGAAAAGTTGCAAAAGTTAGTGGACGAGTTTGGGAGGGTGTGTAAAGGTATAAAGTTAAAAGTGAACATAGATAAGAGTAAGGTGATGAGGGTATCAAACGATTTAGATAAAGAAAAACTGGATATCACATTGGAGAGAGGGAGTATGGAAGAACTGAATGTTTTCAGATATTTAGGAGTTGACTTGTCAGCGGATGGGTTTATGAAGGATGAGGTTAACTATAGATTTGAAGGAAAAAAGGTGAGTGGTTCTTTGAGGTATCTGTGGAGACAAAAAAGCATTATCCATGCAGGCAAAGAAGGGAATGTACGAAAGTATAGTGGTACTAACACTCTTATATGAGTGTGAAGCTTGGGTTATAAATGCTGCAGCGAGGAGGCGGCTGGAGGCAGTGGAGATGTCTTGTCTAAGGGCAATGTGTGGTGTAAATATTATGCAGAAAATTCGGAGTGTGGAAATTAGAAGGTGTGGAGTTACTAAAAGTATTAGTCAGAGGGCTGAAGAGGTGTTTTGGTTATTTAGAGAATGGAACAAAGTAGAATGACTTGGAGAGCGTATAAATCTGTAGGGGAAGGGAGGAGGAATAGGGGTCGTCCTCGAAAAGGTTGGAGGGAGGGGGTAAAGGAGGTTTTGTGGGCGAGGGGCTTGGATTTCCAGCAAGCATACTTGAGCGTGTTAGAAAGGAGTGAATGGAGACGAATGGTATTTGGGACCTGACGAGCTGTTGGAGTGTGAGAAGGGTAATATTTAGTGAAGGAATTCAGGGAAACCGGTTATTTTCATATAGTCGGACTTGAGTACTGGAAATGGGAAGTACAATGCCTGCACTTTAAAGGAGGGGTTTGGGATATTAGCAGTTTGGAGGGATATGTTGTGTATCTTTATATATATATATATATATATAATATATATATATATATATATATATATATTATATATATATATATATATATATATATATATATATATATATATGTAGTGCCGAATATGTAAAACTGGTCAATTAGCAAGAACTCATTTAAAATTAATTCCTTTCTGATATTTTCTCTTATACTTTTAAAGATATATTTTTTCATTAATGTTAATGTAAAAATTTATAATTTTGCAATAAAAGTATCTTAGAAAACTTACCTAACCTTATTATAACAAAAGTAGTTTATTTTAGCCTAACCCAACTAAATATATATTAGATTTGTTTACAATAATTTAATACTAAACAAACACAGAAATACATTTTTTTCGTTAGGTTCAGAATGATTTTGGCAAAATTATTGCATACACAAATTTCCACTTGTCCTATATGGCAAAATGAGCGTTGCTATTTAAGCCAAGATCGCAAGTTCTGCCTATTCGGCACGACATATATATATATATATATATATATATATATATATTATATATATATATATATATAATATATATATATATATATATTATATATATATATATATATATATATATATATATATATATATATATATATATATATATATATATATATATATATAATATATATATATATATATAATTTTCGGTACGTTTGCTTCAGTTTAAGGAAAGAAACTACATCTCCTTCCATAAGATCGGTAGCCCAGAAGTCTCTCATCGCAAGATTCTGGGTCACTGTTATATTTATCTTTATTTTTCTTTGTTTTGTTTCTAAGAGCTATAAAAATGCTAATTATTTAAGAAGTAAAATAAACTCAGATCTTTTTAATGATTGCAAATATGACGTTAAGGTGTTTATTATGAGCTATTAATTTGTCTCTGTATTTATTTTCACAAAAGTGGTTTTCCCTCATCATTCGGTATCGAAGCTCTCCCTGTCACGCAACTACATCAGTGACCATCTTACTTACAGTGGGCAAAACCTTTAAGCGTGTGAACTTTGTTGTCCCTGTGATCAGCGGCACTACCCAGCTGACCAACACTAAATGGAATATAGGTGAGCCAAACTGTCCCGGAGTTTAATTAACCCTCTAGAATCACTGAATACGAAAGATCAGTGAGATATGCTTAGGAAAACTGCCGTTTTTCACCAAATAAAACATGTGGAATTCACTAAAATTCCCCACAGCTCCAGTGGTGCAGCCACGGGATTGCAAGGTGTGGGAGGTGGGATGCGTGGAGAAGAGGACTTAGGGAGCTAAAGCCCACGATGGTTTTTATTTTTAATTAATGGCTAATTTTCACTGCATTATATTGATCAGTGCTAGGGAAGCACGACAGTTTCATTTATTTCTCATACACACTGAAAATTCACATTTATTTTTTTTTAAGAAACAGTTTTTTTAGTTTTTTCAGCATATTTTGATTTTTAAGCTCTCCCCCCCCCCATTAAAATCCTGGCTTAATACTCCCAAGATTATAAAATCTTAGCCCCCTTCATGCAAACTAAACCCAATTTTAACTTCATACAATGACTGTGGAGACCCGATGCCATTCCAGCCTTAACAGTCCAGCAAAAGAGCTCGATACTATTTCGGTCCTGAGCTCGGAAGCGTTCCCCCTCTCCCTACATTTATGGAAAGCTGCCATCGTTTTTCTTTACCTGACATGCCTGCAACTTTTTCCTTATATAGCTTCATTCCCCACTCATTCTTGTCTTCTTAAATATAGGTATTTAGAGTCGCAGCAGTGGCTGACTAGTGAAAAACATTTCCTTGGTGGGGTATTACTCCTTTCAGTGGTAGAGCGCTGGTGTTGTGAAAAACGCTAGGCCACGGTTGAAACCTCGGCACTCTATTTGGAATATAAAAAAAAATGCATAATGATAATTAATAAAGGATATTTCCTTGGGATATTTTAGGTGCCATAAAATAAGATCTTGTGGAAGCAATAGTATTCTTTGTAAGAGTATCAGACACCGTTAAACAACATAGCCTAATGTGCTACAGTACTGACCTTGATTGTTGTGTTTCCTGGGTCCATTGATATGTCTCCAGGACCCACTGATATGTACCATGGACCCAATGATATGTTCCCTGGACACACTGATATATTTTCTGGACCCACCGATGTCCCCTAGACCCGTTGCTCACCTACTCCGCCCAAGACGAGACACTCAACCGGTCACAGAACATTCATTAGAATGAATCCTATGAAATACACAAGAATTCTTCTCGAGTTCCTATGTATTACAAATTTATTTTTTCAGTTTTAAAGTTTACGGGAGCTTTGAAATTCACTAAGAGTGGCATATGTACTGAACAATAATAACCTTGATTCTGGGTTAATTGCTTATCGCAGCCCACATCGTAATTACGCCCTAAACTAGCACACTGCCTTGACGTCAAAGAAAAGGGTTATTTTAACTAGGGGAAAGCTCTAAGCTGGTAATGGTCACAGCGCCTGGGGAATGGGAGGATTTCAGGTTCGATCCACGGAAGGGGAAGATTAAGATTAAGGCATTAAGGGGACCAAAACTATATATAACTCGTCCTCCCAAGAAAAACTTGGATGGTAATTCTCACGTAACAGTAACTCCATTAAGGCGAGCAGTGTCAACAGCAATGGTAATGAGTAGCTTATAAAGATCTTGTGGAAGAGAAGAGAGACCACGTTGATGTTGATGGAGAGTAAAGAAGACATCATAAACTCGAAACTTAGTAGAAAGAATGAGCTCGTGAAGCAAGAGGGAGGTATGATCAGGAAAGGGAGTGCCCAAGGAGTCGAATTTGAAGAATTGGGAGAAGGAAGGGAGCAAAACTTGTTCAGCAAGACAGTGCCGTAGAAAGAGAAGCTGATTCTTACAACGCCTGGAAGCAATGAGAACAGCCTCATAAGAACAAAAGAGGGATTTAAAACGAGGGAAGAACAAGAGAACAAACTTCAGCGTCTTATCTCAGTAACTCCATCTCAGTTACGCTCTCATAGCTCCTGAACTCATAATGAATTGTTGGGAGACATTCTAGTCTCTCAGCTCAGACAGTTTTCACTATTTCATGTTTGCAACTCATGCTGTGATGGTATATAACGAGGGAAACGCCCAGCTTTCAGTTAATAACTATTACTTCATTACATTAATTTATGAATAAGAAAAATAAGCGATGTAAATTTTATCATTACAGGCTTTCATTAGGATGAGTGAAGACGCAGAAAAACATGAGACGTGAGTTGCAAGATTTCTGTCACACCAGCCTTGATAAGCTTCTACCTTGAAAATGACAAGGTCAACACTGGATCATTACAGGTAACGGCATTAAGGTACCTGGGGACGAGGAAGGACTAGGTTTTTTTTTATGGCGCAAAGTGCATGGAAGGCCATCGGTGTATTATGATTTGTGACCGCACAACAACAGTGAGGCTGATCCATTCATAAGGGCCTTTTAAGCCTTCACAGGGACACAAATTCTTTTCTGTTCTAAGGGCCCTTGCAAAGTTATGTTGGTATTAAGGTAGTTGGCAACCAAGTGATGAACAGGGACGAATGCCTGAATATAAATACCTGAGAAGGAAGGTGAGTGCCAGTCCAGGTTGATCACTGCTGCTGCTGGTGTAGGGGCAAACAGGCTGAGCTCAAGCAAGCATGAGGGTCCTAACAACTCTCGTGAGTATTGTACAACTTTACTGCAGGAAACTTAGTTTTGCCTATCGTACAACACCCCAACACACACCACTTTTTTACACTGCTGAATTCACAGTCTAAGAGCTATTACTCTACTTCAGTTTATTTCGAAACCTAGACCCAATGTCTACTAAAAGTCTTTCTGGGATGAGACCCTCCCCCCGCACCACTAAAGTCGACTAATACTCGGGTACCTACTGACTGCTAGGTGAACAGGTTCAACGTGCATAAAAACACATGGCCAACGTTTCCACAAGTGCCGGGATCGAACCCTAGTCCCTTAGCTGCAGACCGAGCCACCAACTTAAGAGGTAATAGATAAACAGAAGGGTGGACGGGGAAACCACGGCCTGTAAACTGGAGGTTAAGATCCAAGGTTCGGCACCAGCAAACAAATTGTGCAAATCCGCGAGTACACACGTCCACCAGCAATGTCAAGAACCATCAAAACCCCAGAACCCCACAACCACTACAAACTTTCCAGTATTCCATAATGAGACGCGTTATTCAAGTAGGAACATAAGCCAAACAAATGTGTACAAATATCAACGGGATCCCAAATAAATTCTTAAGATTTAAATTAACGAGTAAGTAGAAAATTAAGTAATGTGAGTGAGGCTGTAAAGAAAAAAGGCGAGAAACGGGATTACGGAGAAGGTTGATTTATAACTTCAATATTTATATAAATTCCAAAATACGATGATTTTTCGGATGATATTATTGTAATCAATTACGTAGGGTTCCAGGGTCTTCGTTGTCGTTATATACAACCCATCAGAAAATAACAAAAGCAAAAATGAAGTTGAAGAAAAGAGGCTGTAGAATTAAAAAAATTGTGTAGAAAATGCTAATATGAATAAATGATAAGTTTCCTGACACAAATACAGACAAATGGTAAACTTAGATATATCACTAAGGAAAAGCTAAAATTCATTTATCAAATATGCAGAAACACTGGAAAATGTAAATAATGATAATAATGGGACACTACGTGTTGTGCTTCTATTATTTTGAATTCACTAACCAAGCTTTAATCTCACACAAGAACGACCACTCTCATATAATCATGCTTTTACAGTCAGTGCAGTGCTTTCAGAAAAAAACTTATTTAGTTTTCACATGAGTGATGCAGTCCTCGCAACAGTATCCTCAACTCATGATCCCCAAGTAATGAACATACGTCACTTACGTCGTGTTCGATGCCGTCATTGTTCTTCATAACATCCTACCCTTCAGAACTGTTAGAATCATATACAGACTCGTAATTATAGTACAGTAAACTTGCAAACATTATGGCTTTGTTTCGGGCACAAAGTTCCTTGTTTCACATGCAATTTGACGATTTTTTTCGTACTAGACTATTAAAGAAAAAGATGCTAGTAAAAATGTAATCACCAAAACACAGTACTGAGAAAATTTTTATCATTTCCGAAGTATCGTTTTTGACTGACTCTGAAATGCAACTTTTCATCACACACATGCATTGCTATGACTTACAAGTGTTTTGAGTAAACATTAAGAATTCCTCATTTGGCGATAATTTCTACTTTGCGATCACCTTGGAAGATTTATGCATGAGAATATATATTTTTTTAATTTACTTATTTATGAATTAATATAAAAGTGTTTATGTGCTCAATTGTTTTAAAGAGTCCGTACAGGCGTGTTGATCATTACAGGTGGTGACGCTGGGGTTGGTGTGTGCTGCTCATGGAGGCGGCAGCTATGGCGGAGGTGGAGGCCATGGCGGTGGAGGCCATGGCGGTGGAGGCTATGGCGGTGGAGGCCATGGCGGTGGAGGTCATGGTGGTGGTGCTAGCATAGTTGCTGCTCAGCTTGTTGGCCGACACTCTTCCACAACTGGTGGTGGTGGTGGTGGCGGCGGCTATGGGGGCGGCATCAGAGGTGGACGTCAAGGACCTAGTATAGTTGCTGCTCAGCTTGTTGGCAAACACTCTACCACAACTGGTGGTGGTGGTGGCGGCGGCGGCTATGGGGGCGGCATCAGAGGTGGACGTCAAGGACCTAGTATAGTTGCTGCTCAGCTTGTTGGCAGACACACCAGTTCAGGCGGCAGTGGTGGCGGTGGACACGGTGGCAGTTTTGGTGGTGGTAGCTTCGGCGGCGGAAGCTTCGGTGGTGGCAGTATTGGTGGTGGCTATGGTGGCGGTGGCGGTGGCGGTGGCGGTGGCTATGGTGGAAAAGGTGGATGGTAAATATCAGGCAACTTGTAGCTCTATCTTTTTCATCAACAATCAAGAGTTAGCTCAGCAATCTCATGCTACGTCCTCAACTAGTAAAGGAATTGTCAACATACTTGTAAATTTTCAGCTAGTGAAGGAACTATCAACATACTTGCAACTCCTCAGCTAGTGAAGGAACTGTCAAATATACTTGTCATTTGCTATTTCCGGACTTTAAGCCACCGATGGTTTCAGGTAGAGAAACATGTATTTCTAACTAATCCTGTGACTCTGAATTCGAATCTGAACTTAGTTTTGTCCTAAAGCTGGACACTGTTGCCGGAGAACCATACTGAACACGTGTCAAAAGCCTCAATAGTTTGAAAATATGTTTATACAATGAAAATTTGTGTGTATATATATGAGTTACGTTACGAAAGATTAGTTTTTACACTGAATTCGCCATATTTAACATCTGTGTATAACATAGTACCTATGATTGTTATGTAACATATATCATGTGGTTCTTCAGGATTAAACAGCCAATATATTGATCATAAAATCCCATTAAAAACATTACGTAGCAAAGACTAAACAAGCTCAGGATTCCTGATCAGTGCCTTAAAATTAACTTTAAACAATAACCAGTTTGGTTTCTGTATAAAAACTTAAATTTTGTTGGAAAGTGTAATTGTTTGTCGTATGTTGTGATGTAATTCCTCCAGAGGGACTAATAAAAGCCTGTTTCATATTTTTGTTTTTCTTCAATGCCAGAGACGAGTTTTTGTTAGATAAATAATATCAGCACGTTGGAAAAAAACTTTCTAACAGCACGTGTCAAATTTGTACCTTTCAAATATTACACTGAAAATAAGAGGCGGCAACGGCGTGATAAACTCCAGCCGATGACAAATACATAAATACGCAGAACATGTGCATAGAGCTTACCCAAGTCATGACTTGAGAGCTTTGGTTAGAAACATTGCCCGGATCAAGGCTTGTTTTTCTGTATGCATCCTTGTACACGTCGTTGTGCATTCAAAAACCTGCACATGGGAGAGAAACCTTTTGGCGACGTTTCGTTCCGCCCTAGACCATTACTAAGTGTGTTGCTTTGGTGAATTGTTCCAGCTATGATAATGACTGTTTAATCCAGCCAGCAATCCAGCCAGGCCAAGTTACATGTTCAGACATTGCTAGTCAAGATGGCTAGGATATCCCCTAAGGAGGTACCTGGTCAATGGAGAAGGGTTTCCGAGCTAAGGGATTCCACTTTAGCTGCGGGGAATGAGGTGGAGGCTTCAATGGAGAGGGAGACTGAGGGAAATGAGGTAGAGATGGTTAAGACTGCGGGGAATGAGGTAGATGGCAGCCCCAGCGTGCACTTGAAACAGCTGTACTTCACTTGACGATGAACATTCAAGGCCACAACACCACCTTGAAGCTGCCGTCATTAACGTAAGTCTTCCAGTGTTTGCAAACCTTTTTTTTTTTTGTACATTATGTAAATTATAACACGTATTATCTGGTTTTGTACAGGTGGCCTGCTGCTGCCTTCATGTAGGACGCAGGCAAACACTAAGTCATGATCCACAACATTCGAGATAATGGAGTTATTTACAATGAAGAAAAGTGGATACATCCAAAATAAGCTGTTACAAAAGTATGTGATAATTACATAATGGGAACAAAGGCAATGTTAGGTATTATTATTATAATCATAGAAAGCGCTAAACGGACAAGGGTCACAATGTTAGGTAAGGTCTGCCAGGAAACAGGACAAATGTCTCCTGACGCGGGTCTGAGTCAAATGATGACCCGTAGCTGGAGCTTTAGGTCATCTGACCGAGGCCTTCAACTGGCTTACCAGTCCACCCCTTTAAAAATTATGGTTAACTAGAGTTATGTGTTCCCTGTCATATTCCATCACGCGGGATAGTCTACATACATGGTGTTGGAATGTGTGAGCATGAGCTGGGAGACTTAAGTAGGGTAATGAGGAAATCGTCAAGTATTTCATTAAAGGTTCATCAACACCAGCTTTAAAAGGTTTCCTTCCAGCAGAGCTGTTATTATTGCAAGAGAATTACCATCTCTAAGAGACTATCCAATACACACAGAAAATGGAATCTTTATAAAGATATCTCCATCACAGAGCGGACCAACAACAGAGGAGAGAAGAGAAAAAAAAGGGGATGAAAAAATCTGGACTACTTCAAATGTTTAGGAATAAATATACACACACAAACAATGCATATTCATTGTTTCATCTGCCTCTCGACATTGTAAAACTATATTATATTCCCAAGAACACATACTTGCTCTAGCCTGGCAACAACCAGCTGGAACATCTTAGACACTACTTCTACTAAGCAACAACCACTAAATGTAGGCTGACCCATGAGCAGGGCCAAGCTGCATTACTGAGAGAGAGAGAGAGAGAGAGAGAGAGAGAGAGAGAGAGAGAAGAGAGAGAGAGAGAGAGAGAGAGAGAGAGAGAGAGAGAGAGAGAGAAACAATACAAACAATAATAGTAGCAGCATTAGTATTAATAAATTAATAATAATAATACTAGTAATAATAGCTATGAGTGTAAAACTTCAGAGGAATCTTCCTCCAAATTTAATCAAATAGATAAAAAAACGGCGTAAAAAATTAAGTTCCTATATATGATATACATTTTTTTTAAGCCAGGAAGCCCTAAATAAATCACTCGAATTGCTAGTTTAAGTTAAAGTATTCACTGCACGAGGGTCAATAATTCTGGACTTCAAGCGATCACTACTAGCAAGAATATTTAAGTCCCTCAACAATAGGAATTACGGTAAAGTTAACTCGGTGTATATACACTGAGAAATGTGTGAAAAAAGACACTTATGTACAGTTCAGGACATTTATTAAAGGAAACGTTTCGCCACGAGTGGCTTCTTCAGTTCTTCAGGACTGAAGAAGCCACTCGTGGCGAAACGTTTCCTTTAATAAATGTCCTGAACTGTACATAAGTGTCTTTTTCCACATCTTGTCGGTATCACCATACCATTTCCTCACTGAGAAATGTACACATCTTGGTGTTTCTGACCGACAAATTTCGTCGATATACTCGTGTTGCTCATGCGTTTTATTGGTTGGTGGATAATGAGGTTTAAAGCTTATCGACTACGCCAGGGTCACTATGGCTGCACGTAACCCTTTCACCACCAGACAAGAATATATGAATCAGTATACATACAATGAGAGAAATACAGATCTCAATGCATCATAGGTGTATCCTACGGCTCGTACGACAAGAACTAAGTAAATTAAACCCAGCTTAAAGCACCGGTCCACATAACATCCCAGCTAAGTTCCTAAAGGATGGTGCCTCTGAATTCCCAATCCCCATTGCGCACATCACCACAGGTACCGTCCCGGAGGGGTTTAAGATCAGGAGTATTCTTATCCTCAACACAGGAGTACTCCTGATCTCTAACATACATGTAATGTAATCTGATCCTATCTTTAATATTGTAACTACTTTTCGAAGTTAAATTATTTACCTGTTTCCACTTCAAGGTTTAAGAGGACCCCAATGGAAATAAGTCTGTCAGACTTTTTGGGGTTATCCTAGATAATTACACATATGCTGCTATGTATCATAATTTAACTGTATTTATGTGTACCTGTACCTGAATAAAAACAGACTGACTTACTAATGTATAATCTCGTATCCTGTGTGTTTCATTCACAAAGTCTCGGAGTATATACCCAAAGTCCCCTGATCCGTCAACAGATGGCGAGTATGCTTCTCTTAGCAATGTTTACTTGTCACTTTCCAAGGCAATTAATTCTAATGTCTGCCGGTAGATGGTGGGGCGATGTACTTTACTCACTGAAATGCCTGGCTCTACTTTTGGCACAGAGCGTCTGCTGATAATATTCATTAAGAAAAATGAATGAGGGCGAGTCAGACACCACTAAAGAGTATAGCAAAGCAATGTACACTCGGATAGTTATTGATTTGTTTAGTTGCTAATAAATGTTGATAATGATTTTCTTAATCAATTAGTAGGGGAGAGAGAGAAAAAATGGACACATCTGCAGTGTGTTGCTGAATAAGTAAAATTGGTCAATTAGCAAGAACTCATTTAAAATTAAGTCCTCCTTTCTAAAATTTTCTCTTATACGCTTAAAGATACATTTTTATATATGTTAATGTAAAAATCAATAATTTTGTACCAAAAGAAACTTAGAAAACTTACCTAACTTTATTATAAAAAGAGCAATTTTTATCGTTAGGTTCAGAATGATTTTTGCGAAATTATTCCATACACAAATTTTCGCTCTGCCAAATTCTGATGTATTCGGCAAGACGAGCGTGATATATATATATATATATATATATATATATATATATATATATATATTATATATATATATATATATATATATATATATATATATATTTATGTATATATATATATATATATATATATATATATATATATATATATAAAATAATATATATATATATTTATGTATTATATATATATATATATATATATATATATATATATATAATATATATATATATATATATATATATATTTATATGCATATATATATATATATTTATATTATATATATATATATATATATATTTATATATTTTTTTTTTTTTTTCAACAAGTCGGCCGTCCTCCCACCAAGGCAGGGTGACCCAAAAAAGAAAGAAAATCCCCAAAAAGAAAATACTTTTCATCATCATTCAACACTTTCACCACACTCACACATTATCACTGTTTTTGCAGAGGTGCTCAGAATACACATATAAAGATACACAACATATCCCTCCAAACTGCCAATATCTCAAACCCCTCCTTTAAAGTGCAGGCATTGTACTTCCCATTTCCAGGACTCAAATCCGACTATATGAAAATAACCGGTTTCCCTGAATCCCTTCACTAAATATTACCCTGCTCACACTCCAACAGATCGTCAGGTCCCAAGTACCATTCGTCTCCATTCACTCCTATCTAACACGCTCACGCACGCTTGCTGGAAGTCCAAGCCCCTCGCCCACAAAACCTCCTTTACCCCCTCTCTCCAACCCTTTCGAGGACGACCCCTACCCCGCCTTCCTTCCCCTATAGATTTATATGCTTTCCATGTCATTCTACTTTGATCCATTCTCTCTAAAAGACCAAACCACCTCAACAAACCCCTCTTCTGCCTCTGACTAATACTTTTATTAACTCCACACCTTCTCCTAATTTCCACACTCCGAATTTTCTGCATAATATTTACACCACACATTGCCCTTAAACAGGACATCTCCACTGCCTCCAACCGTCTCCTCGCTGCTGCATTTACCACCCAAGCTTCGCACCCATATAAAAGTGTTGGTACTACTATACTTTCATACATTCCCTTCTTGCCTCCATAGATAACGTTTTTTGACTCCACATATACACAACGCACCACTCACCTTTTTTCCCTCATCAATTCTATGATTAACCTCATCCTTCATAAATCCATCTGCCGACACGTCAACTCCCAAGTATCTGAAAACATTCACTTCTTCCATACTCCTCCTCCCCAATTTGATATCCAATTTTTCTTTATCTAAATCATTTGACACCCTCATCACCTTACTCTTTTCTATGTTCACTTTCAACTTTCTACCTTTACACACATTCCCAAACTCATCCACTAACCTTTGCAATTTTTCTTTAGAATCTCCCATAAAGCACAGTATCATCAGCAAAAAGTAAC